GTGTGTGTGTAGAATTAGAAACTGGGGTACAAGCTGAGTTAGGGAGAAGCGTGGAGAAGGGGAAGGCCCCTGGGGGTGACCTTGGGGGAAGAGAAGGAGTAAGGATGTGAAGAGAGGGGTGAAGTATTCTCCCGCAGGGGCCACAGGTGCTGAGCAGAGGGTGGGGAGGCAGGCAGAAGCCAGGCTGCGGGTCCTGCCTGCACGGGTCCCAGGGTCCCGTCTGCATGGGTCCCAGGGTCCCAGGGTCCCAGGGTCCCAGCATCCCAGCATCCCAGCATCCCAGCATCCAGCGCATGGCCAGGCCTCACTCCCCGGCTCAGCCCACAGGGCATACCTGTGTCTGTCCTGAACTCATCCTTTGAGGACTGGCTTTCCGCAGCCTGTGCCATGTCGGTGGGTTAAGGCTGCAGGCTCCTGACTCCCCACTAGGTGATGAGCCCCTTGTTTCATCACAGCCGCACTCTGGCCATTGCCCCCACCCCCCAGTGGGGGGGATGCCCGCGATGTTCTGGGTAGAGGTAACAGGGATACGGGTGCTGATGGCAGCATTTATGAAGTGGAGTGGGATGGTTAGGAGGGTGGCAGGAGTTCTCTGCTGTCCCTGCTGTCTCTGCAGAGAGGATAGAGGGAAGGTCTTTCTTAAAAATCTCTGGGACAAGTGTGGGGAGACCGAGCACAGGTGTGGGGTTCAGTAGTGCCTCTCCCCATAGGATTTGTGGAAACTCTCACCCCTCAGGGTGGTCTAGAGGAAGTCACGGTCCTTGGGCCACCATCCTTGCCCTCTCCCTTCCTTTTGCAGCCTCTCCTGGGGGGACAAACTCAGGAGCCCCTTCCCACTACCTCCTGCTCCCAGCAAACCCAGGCAGGAGCCTCGAGCTGCTCTGACGGCCCTGGGCCCAGGCCCGGCCTGTCTGCAGGGGAGGTGCCCGCCTGCCTGGCTGCCTCTAGGCCCCCTCCCAGCCAGCCCTGTCCCAAGACGGGATGGGGCTCCTGTGGTTGGCTCATCCGGGGCTCTGCTCTCACCCCTAGTGGTCTTGCTGTGGAGCCCGAGGGCCCAACGACTGGAACCTCAATATTTACTTCAACTGCACTGACTTGAACCCGAGCCGGGAGCGCTGTGGGGTGCCCTTCTCCTGTTGCGTCAGGGACCCTGCGGTGAGTGGGGCCTTGTGAGGAGGGGGGGTGGGGGGGCCCTCGCAGTGCGCAGGCCCAGTCTGGGAAGAACCCAGCTCCGGGCTGGCTTGGCTCCGTCCTACTCTGGGGGCTGGGAATGTCTGGGAGCCCATCTGCCATGGGAGCAGCCCTGCTGGGCTGGGGAGCGTGTGTCCGAGGGCAGCGCTGAGGCCAGCATGGGGATGGCTGCTCTAGGGCCACCAAGCTAGGGTGGCAGGCTGGGCTTCTGACCCCTTTGTGGCTTTCTTTAGAGCAGAAGCTTCCCTCACTGACATCCCTCCAGTCACAGTGCAGAGACACCGAGGGCCAGGTTTCTTCCCATTCTTAGTACAACACCAGCAGGCAGGATTCCTGTGCAGGAGGCAGCTCAAGCTGGCATTGCAGCCTGCGCCCTGGCGTCGGGGAGAGGGGCGCCTGGGCCCCAGCGAGCCTCACTTAAGGAGCTGGGGATGCGGCAGAATCCATGATTTCAACTGCCTCTCCTGAGTGCTGGGCGCTGTGAGGCCCCATGGGTGCCCCCTCACCAATTTGCTCCCTGGCCTGTTTCTCCACAGGAAGATGTCCTCAACACCCAGTGTGGCTACGATGTCCGGCTCAAACTGGTGAGCAGGCAGGGACAGGGCTGAGGGCAGCTGGGGACACTGGGGGTGGGAAGGAGGGCCCCCCCATAAGATCTAAGAGGCCTCAGGGGTTCCACAGGGAGGGGATGCTGGGTCCCGGCAGACACTTGGGGCTTGGTACTGCCAAACAAGAGGCAGAGGGCCCGCGGGCAGGGGACTCCAGTAGAGGAGAAAACAGTAAGACACAGATAAATGTGAACAGCAATGTGACAATTTCATCTAAGTGCTTGGAAGGAAACAGAGTAAGAGAGGGAATGGGATTGGGGCTGGGCGGTCAGGGAAGTCCTCTCGGAGCATCTCAGCATGTGCTGAGACCCCGGTGAGAAGGCCCTGCGGTGGAGCTCCAGGCAGCTGGCGCAAAGGTGTAAGGCCCCTGGCTGGATGGGCTTGGCAAGCTGGACCCAGGTGGCGCCCTCAGCAGCGGTGGGTGGGCGGAGCCGAGCCTGGTGCCCGTCTGTCCCCAGGAGCTGGAGCAGCAGGGCTCCATCCACACCAAAGGCTGCGTGGGCCAGTTTGAAAAGTGGCTGCAGGACAACCTGATCGTCGTGGCTGGGGTCTTCGTGGGCATCGCCCTCCTCCAGGTATGCTGTGGCCCTGTGTGCCCTTGCTCTGCCCCGGGCACCCCGCCCTGCCGGTGGCCTCTCTGTCACCTGCCCTCTGTCTTTCAGATCTTTGGGATCTGCTTGGCCCAGAACCTTGTGAGCGACATCAAGGCAGTGAAGGCCAACTGGTGAGGCTGCCACGCTGGCCATGGCCACTCACCTGGCCAACCCAGGGACCCCCGCCCCCCCGCCCCCAGCACTGTGCCCATGCTGGGCAAGGCTACAGGAGGTGTTTCTGCTCGGACCTGAGCCCCATGTGGGGCTCGCGTGCCGCTGTGCTGTGCGCCCGCCCATGGAGAGAGCTGTGTGGCTCTGCCTGGGCTGCCTGTCCTGGAGCCATGGGCATGGAGGGCGGGTGTGGTGGGGTGGGTGTGCACAGGGAGCCACCGGCTCAGCTGTTGCTGGATGGTGGGCTCTCCAGGGGACCAGGAAGGGCACAGCTAAGAGGGTGCAAGCTAGGTGGGGTGGGAAGGTTCTGCTGTGTCTCCCCACCCAGCTGGGAATGCACTTCTCTGTGCATGACTGCATAGGGTGGACTTGGGCCTGCTGTTGCCTGGGACATGGCTTCGTGCATCTCAGAGCTGTCTCCACTAGCTATGACCTTGACCCTGTCAGGAGGCCACTGTAGCCTCAATGTCTCAGACTTTCAAATGGGTCCAAGAATTTTCTCTCCCTTGCTTGCCTCTCAGGATCAAACATGATGATGGCTACAAACTACTCAAATAAACAAAACCTTGAAAACCACTGGCTCTCACCCACCATCTTGGAGGTTCTGTCAGCTGCAGGGCCTGAGCAGAGCTCGCCGCCTGGGGCCCTGGCCCGGACCCACCTGCCAGCGTGTTTTCTTGGCCTGGGTAGTGTATACATTTGAGCTGAGCTTTAAAACTTGACGTATTTCATGTAGAAGTCCAGACCCCCGGCTTCTCATGAAGGTTGATCACCTGGGACGTCGTCTCCTGGGATACGTGCTTCCCCGTTCTCTGAGGGCCCCACCTGGCCCCTGCTGCTCACCCTGGAGGCTGGGGTTGGCCTCCTCCGCCTCTGTAGGGTTTTTCCCCTGCAAACTCCGCAAGGCTGTTGTCAGCCACACCTGGGGCGAGGCGCAGGGATGTGAAGAATGGAGAGGCTGGACCCTGCCCTGAAGTGGCTACTGCCTGGGAGGGGTCCAGCCCGGCTGAGGACTGAGACCGGTGCCTGGGAGAGGGGCTGAGGGGTGGTTTTGGGAAGAAAGTAGGTGGAATTTGAAAGCTTGGCACCCATGGAGTGGGGTTGGGGGGATGCTTTGGGCCCATGGTGGTTGATGCCTGGGCCCACTTGGAAACAGATTGAAAATCTTCACAGTGGCCTGCAGAGCTGCCTTGTGGCCACCAGAGGGCGCGCCGGCACACTCTGGGACAGCTGGGTGCCTGGCGAGTCCGCCATGCTTGTTAGTGCTCGGGTTCAGGGAATTTGAGAACTTCTAAAGGAGCAGACTTGGGGGGAGTCTGGCTGCTGCTCTCAGCTCTGCTTCTTGGCTGCATGAAGGGATATGTGTGGAGTGAACGCCCCGTCCGTCCCTGGGCTGCCCTTGGTGGCTGAGGAGGGATTTGGGCTGATTCACAGATCTCCAGCTCAGATGCCCTCAGGGCCAGGTAGGTTGTATAGATGAAGGAAACAGGCCTTTGAGGTGTGAGGCCTTTGTCCTGCAACCTTGACTTTCCTGCGGTTCCTGAAGGTGGACGCAGAGAGACATTGCTTTGTGACGAGAGATTCAGACTGTCAAGCAACTGATAATGGCAGCTGACCTTGAGTAATAGGGCATGGTGGGGACTGTGGCAAAGCACAGATCCCATCTGAAGGTGGTAGCTGGCCTTTAGTTGTGGCTAATTGCTGTAAAGTGAGGTGCAGGTCTAATGTCAGAAGCCTGGAGGAGCCAGAAACCCAGGTTTTTATGTGAAATATCCCTATTTTTAAGTTGTTGACAACCAATGGAAAAACATTTTTAAATACTGCAAGCCCAACAGGCGGTGTAAGGGCGAGCTTTGGCCACTGTGTGACTACAGATCCCTCTAGGACTGTCACCCCAGCGGCCCTGACAGGCCGGCACACTACAATAAACGCAGCTCACAAAGTTGTGCGCGTCTTGCATTCTTTAATTTCAAAAGCTTTCGTTTCCGCCTCCCCGAAACCTCACGACCCCCTTGTGAGGTGGAGAGTCTTTTCCTGATGAAGAAAGTGGGGCTCAGAGAGGGGAGGGGGCTGCCCAGTGCACAGCTGGAGGAGGCTCCCGGATCTGAGCCCACTCACTGGAGGTTTGCACCAGACCCGCCCTGCCTTTCTGACACATCAAGGTGCCACCTCACACTCGCAGTAAGGGGCAGTAAGGTATCATTCCCCCACGTGAGTGTCCACTTGGGTGCTGGGGATGTGGAGGGGAGAAACAGGCAAAGTCCCGCCCTTGTGCTGCATTCTCGTGGGGGAGACACAAAAATACGTATGCAAATAAGCATTTTTGTTAGTAATACAAACTCCGAAGAAAATAAGAATGATGGGCTAGACAGTGGTGGCTGGGGTGCCTGGGAGAAGGGACCCCTTGATGGGGTGATGGGAGGGATCCCATCTCTGAAAAACTCCAGGGGAGCAATGTCCCAGGTTTTGGGACCAACTTCCCTAGAAGCTGGGTGGGCTCAGCATAAGGGAGCCTGGGTGCTGTAGAGGTGGGAGGGGGTGAGGGGCAGAGGGCACGGGCAGAGGGAAGGGGTGGAACCAGGATGTATTTGGAAATAGCATCAATGAGATGGGGTAGGAATGACTAGCAGGACTGGTCATGACCTTGGCTGCTGACCAAGTTCTCCAAAGCTCAGTTCTGCTACAGGAAATGCATCCGTCCACCCACCCATTCATCCATTCGCCCACCCTTCTATTCGTTCATTCCACCACGCCTCCATCCACTCGTCCCCCACCCACTGTCACCATGCAGGTACGCGCACCCCACCCACTGTCACCATGCAGGTACTCGTCCCCCACCCACTGTCACCATG